ACTTCTCAAATATTCTCATTGCACTTAAGATGAAACTAAAAATCTTGAATCTAGTCTTGAATCTAGTCTAGAAGGCTCAACATTGTCTGATTTTGGCCTACATCTCCAACTTCCTGTCGCCTATCCATCTCCCTGTGGACTCATCAGATTTCTTTAAGTGTTTCCAATGCGCCACACACTCTTCTCATTCTGAGTCATAACACATTCTGCTGTTTTTCATCTGGGAAGCTACATCTTATCTGGCAGGTCTCTGATTAAATTATAATTTATCAGAAAAGCCTTTTCTGACCATCTAAATCAAGTTCCTGTTACACCCTCTTATTCATTTGTTCATACATTCAAAAAACATTTATGAAATACCTACTTTGTTCCAAGCATTAATCTAGACCTTCAGAGACAGAACCTAGTAGGTAGATGGACATTTGTGTATATATATGTGTGTGTGTATACACACATACATACATACATATATGATATATAAAGTATATAAATAAATATATTTTGAAGTGATTGTTCAATTTTTTTATTAAAATGAATGCAGATTAATACATTTCTAGATCTTTGGGATAAATTTTTGAGTGAAATAGAGATTGAAATAGGATTAGGCCTATTTGAGGTGGGTTTTCAGTATAAATCTAGGATTTCTAGGATGGTAGATATCATTTGAAAATAATGAAGGCTGTACAAACTAATAAGGCTATCTGGAAATAAATTTTAAATTAAATTTGTTTGGCTGAAAAACTGGAAGAAGTTGTGTGTACAGGGCCAGGAATCTTAGGGTACATCTGTCTACATAAAGGTCAGACATAAAAAGCTATGTTGACCAAGATCATCTCTAAACTTCTTTCAAATTCTGATTCTGTGATCTACTGATTCATTTTCCTGTTCAATGAATTTAACTACCAAAATAGATCTAAAACTTTACTTCTTTCCTATTGCTACCACCTTGTTTCTTCTTCCCTGAACAAACCAAATGTTGTATGAATTAATCCCTTTTCCTTTTGTGTAATTACCAAAATGGACTTGACAAACTGTACTTCTGAACATCTTATTCTGATACCTTGATAACTTTCCATTGCCTGTCAAGGTATCTATAAGTCTCTGTGACACAGTCTATCCCCAGGCTATTGTGTAGCATTCCTGTTTGTTATTGCCAAACTTTACTCAAGCTGGAGTTGGATCTCGTTACCCTCTCTTCTAGAATCTCTACCTTTATAATCAGTGAAATTCCATCTTACATGTCACCTTTTCTCTTAGAACTTTTCCTAAACCCCCAAATCAGTCATATGTCTCTGCTTTGTGTTAAAATATTTTGGAAATATGTCTTATCTTCAAGTGGTCTGAGTTCAGATTTAGTGTCTGGGGGATTTGAATAAATTAGGAAATTCTACTATTTAGCCAATTCTAAAATTTCTTTTTCTATAGAGGTAAATTTTTCTTAAAAATAACTTTTAAATGTTTTTCTTCATAACTAAAGATAGAATAAGGAGTGTGTTCTAAGTAATGTATCAGGTGTTCTGTTTGTAATGCTACTTTAAAAGTTACTGTTTCGTTAAATGCAGTAATAGTTGATGTTAAAATAGTATTTGAAAACAGAGTAATTGAATCTGGTCAATTGGATCTGATGGCTTTAGGTTATCCATTTGTTTTTCATTGCGTTAGACTATCTCTTCTCTTCCAGATTTAGGTAAATATATAAGCAATAGGTCTGTATATAATTTAGTAAAATTTAAGAGGAAATCCAACATTTTAACTTAAGTCTAGACCTTTCTATGAAACTTCAGACTCATGTATCCATATACTATTTGACATTTCCTTTCGGGTACCTGTTAGATATTCAGTTAACATGCTCAAAATAAATTCTTAGCCTTTCTCCCTAAAGCTTACTTCTTTCTTAATCATCTTCCTCTTGATTAATAGCAACTTCATCTTTGTTTGCTCAATCCAAAGACCTTAGAGCTTTCCTCTACTACTGTCTTTTTCTTACACCCCATATGTCACACATCAGCAAATCCTATCAGTTCTCCTTCAAATTAAATTCAGAATATGAATGCTTCCTTTCATTTCTGCTGCTGTAATTCTGGTCCAGACCATCATAATCTCTTGTGTTGACATTGCAATAGCCTACTAATTACTTTCCCTGTTTTCACCCCTGTCTCCTTCAGTCTATTCTCAACACAGTAACTAGAGTGATTCCATGAAAACATATGTTAGAGCCTGTCACTCCTCTGCTCAAATGAAAGTCATAACAATGTCCTACAATGTTGTATACAATCCAGCCTTCAGTTTTTTTTTTTCTCAGACGTCGATTCGTACAAGCCACGCTGGCCTCCTTGTTATTTTTCAAATATACCAAGCATGGTTCCAATTTAGGGCCTTTAATAAAGGATTTTTCACTACTGGGAATGTTTTTCCCCAGTATTCACATGGTTATTCCCCCACCTTCATCACGAACTTCATGTCTTCTAATCAGTGAGTCCTTCTCCAACTACTTAATTTTAAATTCCTGGAACAATCTCTCTCCTTCTTTCCTTCCTTAACACTGATCATCATCCAAAATTCTATATATAATACTTATTTATACTTTTATTGTATATAAACCTTCTGAATATAAATTACACAAGGGTAGGATTTTTGTCTGTTTTGTTCGTTGTATTCTTAGCATCCACAATAGTACTTGGCACAAATTGGGTGCTCATTCGATATTTATAAAATGTTGAATTATATGATATGTTTAGGAATAAATTAGTTTTTTAACTATTTAATCATTTTATTTTTAAGTGTATTAACATATAGTTTTTATGAAATATGTAATTTTCATACAAGTCATTGTTATTCTAGCTCAGCCTTCTAAGCAAAAGCCCTTGCACATATATGGGAAAAGGCATGGTTGAAAAAGGTTCTCATATCACTTAGTTTATTGTTCTTTCATATTCCTAAGCATAACATGCTTATATTTTTTGTCCAATAAATAGCTATTTCCTAAAAAAACAAGACATAACCCTATGTATCTTGAATCTCTAAAGAGGCTCAGAGCCTAGCACATGGTGTGCATATAGCAAAGCAGTGGTTAATATGAAATCTAGTAAGTGGCTCTAAATAGGATTGTGTGATTGTAGGTGATATATGATACCTTCATCTGTGTATTAATATTAATGTGCTGGATGATGTTCTAGAAAGGGTTTCGTTAATTTTAAATGTATGCAAGATAAAAATAAACTACTACTCATTTAATAATTTTATTTAAAATTATTTTTAATCAACATATACTGTAATAAGATTCACTTATATCTTTCTAGATATTTAAATATAAGAATGTCTTTCTTGAAACTGAGACCATACCTAGGGAAGGACATAAGATTATATGAATGTTTAATTTTTTTTGTACCATGCTTGTATATGAAGCCAAAGTTTGTTTATATAAGTAACTTATCAGTGAATTTGAAAGCAAAATTAGGAATAAAAAATAATCGCAATTGTTTTTGTCCTCTACCTCTTTGAATCACTGGTCTCTGAGGCATTACCTTAAGGTTCTGCTCATTAAATATGGGGCTGTTAGCCTAAGGGCAGTTGTGATAAGGGATACTTTATTATACCACTAGGTCCATAATAAAGAAATATTTTTAAATCCCATTTCTCTTATTTACAAAATGTTTGGTAATTCCAATTGTTTTTTTCAATTTTCCCCTTTAATTTTTAGTTCCCAGTGTTCCCACAAATATTACTTTTTCTAATGTTCAGTCAACTAGTGCAACATTGACGTGGGTGAGGCCTGACACTATCTTTGGCTACTTCCAAAATTACAAGATTACCATTCAACTTCGGGCTCAAAAATGCAGAGAATGGGAATCTGAAGAATGTGTTGAATATCAAAAAATTCAATATCTCTATGAAGCTGACCTAACTGAAGACACAGTATATGGATTAAAAAAATTTAGATGGTATAGATTCCAAGTGGCTGCCAGCACCAATGCAGGCTATGGCGATGCTTCAAGTTGGATATCTACACAAACCCTGCCTGGCTGTAAGTATTGTCCTGTATATGTGTATATATGTTTGCATTCAAGAAAGAGCTCTTTAATGCTTTTCCATAGAAATCACTCAAACCATTAGTAATTGCTCTTACAACATAAGTTTTATATTTTAAAACTGATTGCCCTACTTGCTTATACAACTTCATTAACATTAATATTAAGTAAATAAATTACTTTTATTACTTTCTGAATATTGTCTACATAGAATTGTGATGGCTTCCATACAAAGCATATATGCTTACATATGCACACATATATATATATATACGCACACACATACACACACATACACTGATTTCTGTTTTATGTCTATGTTAATGATTTTTACTTAATTCCATTATGTTTAAAATCACTGAACATAAAAATTATTGAGTTAGTATACAAACTAACTCACATAGTAACATATTTACTTTTAATTTAATTGAATAACAATGAGAAATTCATCTTCTGTCATTATTAGGGCTTTTCTCAAACTTCCAGAGTTGCTGCAAGGTCCTGGAATCCTATATTATAACAAAGCATCACAGGCCTCTCTTGTGGTCTATTATTAGGGTAAACTGATTGCAGTCAAGAACCCTTTGCCCACATTTTTCCTTCATATCTGGAGGCTTTGCTGCTTTTAAGCCAGGCTTTACAACCTTTTCAGTGACTTCAGTCTTACGCACGCATATGCATGCGCGCCCATACACATACACACACACACACACAAATGTGCACTCATGAATAGCCCAGATGAATCTATCTTCCAGCAGATTTTCAGCTTCTTCTTTTCACTTATACAAAATTTGGAAGCAAAGAAAGACCAAGGGTCTGACTCACAGCTTAAAATGAGGAAAAAGGGAAAAATAGAGAGAAGAAACACAAAATAATCTCAAAATTATTCTGCTATACATATTTTTCAGGACTTTTGCATTAAAAAAACAGCTGTTTAAATCTTTTACATAGAAACCACTAGGTGTGGGTAGAGATACTACTCTTGCAACTTTAGTTTTATATTTTAAAACTAACTTGTTACCAGACTTGCTTAGACATTATTAACTATAATTAAGCAAATATTTTTATTATTTATGCTTAACACTAGCTACATAAAATTGTAATGGCTTCCATGTAAAATAGATTACAAATGGATTCATGTAAGCCAGAGTTTTGAGGGACGGCTGCACTATCCTTAAAATGCCATTCCTGCCCCAAGCCCTCCAGAAAAAATTTCAGATCAGCCAGATGACCTATTGCATCCATCCCAACACCATCCCACATAAACCCTCCAAGTAGGGACCTTATGTCCATCCTCCTAATTTGACCAAAACTATGACTAGTTGATTCCTTTTAAATCCAAATTGGATTTCCTTAAAAACTGTTGGTACTTATTAGTAGAGTAATACACACACGTATACATGCATGCACAGACACACAGATTTTCAGTGATAAATAGATGCTGTTGTAGTCCTTTATAGACAGTGAAATAAGCTTTGATCTAGGGGCTTTATTTTCTAGGTCACTAAGTGTGCCTCTTGTTCCTATTTCCCAGAGTACCTGACATGTTTGTAATAGTAAATGTCCAATGAATATTTGTTAATGCAATTCAATATGTGAGATAGAATCTAGACAACTCAGCCTTCAACATAATTGTCCAGCCTTTTCTTTCTGTAGCACTTTGACTCGGTTTCCGTAAGATCTGCCCTTCTAGTTTATCTCCTATCTCCCTGATAACTCTTTCTCAGCCTCCTTTGTTCATCCTCTTTTTTTTTTTTTTAACTTTAAGTTTTGGAGTGCCAAGAGTTCTATACTTGGCCCTTTTCTTTTTTCTTTTTAATTTAATTTTGTTATTAGTTTCAAGTATACAATGCATTGGTTAGAAATTTATGTAGTTTATAAAATGATCCCCCTAATTGCTCCTTCTCTCCTCTGGGTCTCCACCTAGCCATTACATTAATGCTAACTGCATTCCTTCTTCATCAACATAAAATCCTAGGAAATGTTGTCTCCTTATCCTGTCCTATGGCTTTAAAGTCTACCTATATACTGATTATTCTCAAATATATATCTCTTTCCAGCTCAGACTGCTCCCTAGAACTCAGATCAGTATATTTACTTGACCAACTGATATCACAGGGTGTGTGTGTCAAATATACCTCCCCAAATTAGCATGATCTAAACACCAAACCTTTTCATCCTCCAATCTTCCTTATCTTTGATGCACCATTACTCATCTGGTTGCAGAAAATGAAAATATAGGCAGTGTTCTTTTCCTCCTCAACTCTACCAATGGTATATTTCTACCATACCATCTCAATACAGCCCTCCATTGGCATTGCTATCTTATTAGTCCTATCCTTCATTGCTGTTACCATATTAACCTTACTGACCTCTTGAGTTTGCAGGCTGATCTTTTAAAACCTAAATCAGATGACGTCACTTTCTTTTTAAAAGTCATTCCATGAACTCCCATTGCTGTTAGAATACAATTTAAATTGCTTAACATGATTAACAAAGCCCTACCTGACCTGGCTCTTTCCCAATACTCTAACCTCATCTGTAATTGCTTTTCTACTTACCATTACCCACTGGACATGTTTTCTGTTGCCTGAACACACTCTATCCCTAGAACTTGGACCTTTGCACTCTCTGTTACTTTTGACTAGAATATTCTTCCAACTCCATATTCCTATGAGAAACTTCTTTATTATTCATGTGTCTACTAAAATGATTCCTGCGTTTCTCTGGCCACCCAATCTAAAACATCTATGCAGTATTTTTCTAGAATGTCATTTTATGTTAATGAATATCTGTAATTACCTGATCATCTTTTCTTTGTATTTGTTTTAAAAATCTGTCCTGACCATTGCTATTTTCTTATTACCTAGAATGGTGCCTAGTACTAGTAGGCACTCTATAAATATTTCTTGAATTGGTGAAACTTGATTGAAAAGCTAAAGTAGGGAAGGGAAAATGAATTGTTTTCCAATGCAAAGTGATGGTGAGGGTGATGGTGCCATAATGAAGAAAAGGAAAATATGAAAAAATCAAATCTGGGTGGGGTTTAGCAATAAGTATTTTATTTTGAACAGAAAACAGATGCTTAGAGATTAGAGCATAGGTTAAGGTAGGGATTTTCATTGCCTCAGCCAATATGAATAAATAAAATCCCAAGTGCAGATGTGATAGAAATGAGACATTGACTGAATAAACTTTGAAGTCCCAGGGGCAATTGGAAGTTACTTAAAGGAGTCAGACAGGTATCATAATGAAAGAAGCCGGCTAACGTAAGACAGTTGGGAGTGGTGGAAACCAGGACAAATTAACAGACAATGCGCTAACAGGGTAGCCACTGCTCACCACTGGCTGATTACTGTCCTATAGACAGGACACGCTATTAGGACTTCTGATGTAACAAAAAACAGTGAAGTTAGATTTTTTTTTAATGTGAAAATATTCAATTTCTTGCTTGTGATATGTTTTTTAAAACATTTATTTGTTCAAACTAAAGACATTAGTAGCCCAGATCTGGCCTATGGGAAGCTAATTTTTAACCTTTGGTTAATGTAGATCTTGTGCCTATTTTTTGTTTGCTGCCATTAAGGGTTTCTGTCCTACATCTTATGAGCATCTGACTTGAGTCGTACCTGCTTTTACCTACTCCACTGAACCAAGAAGTAGACTTTCTAAATGCAACATTTTTTCGATTAATCTAGACACTATGATAGAAAATGTTCAATTAGCATAAAATGACATAAAAATAATGAATTCAGAAACAGATAAATGAAACTGGGAAGTTGGATATTTAAAGAACCCCATGTTCTAAATCAGAAAATTTGGGAGTCTTTCTACTTGAATGTTATTGCTTCTATCCTAGTTCTTCCACCTCCTACCCTCTTTAAGGTCTATGACCTACTTACTAGAATTTGGTTATTTTTAGTTAGTTCGTTTTGCTCTTTCTGGTTTAAAGGAATAATAATAGAATACTTCAAATATTTCACAATCGATATGAGCTTTTTTTTAAAAAAAAAGTTTATTTTCCTAGTTTTACCAGGATTTCTCTCTTTGCCATTGATGATTGGTTGGTTTGTTAGTCCTTGGTGCAATGGAGAGAGTAATCTTTGGCTTCCCTTTACCCCAGCCTCCAGGTCTTTACTTGATGACTAATCCACAGAAGGCCTTTCTCATGAAGTACCAGTTTGTCTTTCATCTGGTATTTTTCTCCTCTCTGGACCGAGTGTTTCATTGCCACAATTTAAATTTACCATCATAGAATACTTAGGATGAAGAAATTTATCTTTGCTTAAGTACATTTTCTATACTACTCATATTCCTTTCTTATTTTCTTTATCCTTGAGAGCTGATTTTCTACTCTGTTGTTTATCAATAAAATTGAAAGATTTTCTTGTTTTATTTTCAGAGGAGACATGAAAAATTGCCTTTCTTCCACTGTAATTAAGAGAGAAAAGTGAAGGGATTTATATATCTCAGAAATTGTAATAATAGACATATTATCTTGGCATTTTCAAACTTACTAGCTTTTCAACTGAGTATTACTTTATTTGTGTAAGTCATATGAATGAGATGGTTGCTCTGTTAGTTTTAGGAATTAAGGGGACATTTTTCTAATGATATATTTTAATTTAATAATTGTACAGTGAGAAAGCTTTATTTATTATATTAAGCCAAGAAGAAATCATCTAAGATTGCATATGATATGAAAGACAAAAAAAATACTACATAAGTTATTGAAAGATCATACATATATGTACACATATATATAGTGAACTAATATATGGTATAAAAATAAAAGAAATTAGAACAGTCAAGCAACAAAAATCTTGAAGAGCAGTAATTCTTTTAAAATTAAAAGTAATGCTGAGATATTGATTTGCACACCAAAGATAGGAAGTATAGACATTTTGCAAATATAAAAAATAATTTCGTTGAAGAAAATTAGTAGGTTTTGTACTATCATTGATTCAAAAAAGTGTTGTTTCGTAATATTATATAA